TAACCAAGGGCTATTGTGCTGTTATCTGGCTCCCGAATCCACTTTGTTAATGGACGCAGCTATCACTATCGGCATCCATTAATGACCACCCCGGTAGTTATCGCTTGAGGAGAGTTACAGGAGATAAAGATCAGGTTGGGCGGGGGGAGCGCATCATCATGGGCAATAAGGAAAAATTACCAGGGTTTTTGGAAGACTGAAAATTGTTCGGTATGGGTTTGACTGCCTAATCACCTTTATCAGTGCATCAGAGCTATCAGTTGTCCATTCCAGATCGGTTCCCTTACTGTATTGTGATTGTCTCATTTTTTGGCATTTTAGCCATGTCAGAAGCAGTCAACCATGATGTGTATCATAACTTTTTGTCAAGTCAGAATTCTCTGTCACAATTATTGGTATAGACAATTAGGAATTCATTTCAGGATAAATCTTTACATGACTTTGCGGCAACAGTCATGCTTTTGTTCTATTCAGAATTAAAACAGTTAAAAAGAAACCTATTGCTGTGATTTCTGCCCCCCCCCCGCCCTTCCTCTACTTCTGTTGTCACAGGCAAGAACAAATAGCTCCACAACTGCAGAGCAACAGCCTAGTCGGAGGCAAGACGAGGAACAAACGGTGGAGCAAATCCAAACCCAGTGTCAACCACAGGGGGAAACGCAGGCGAGAAAGAAGAACATGATTGCCACCTGGTATGTAAGTTCAGTTCACTCCTGCAGTTGCAGGCAGAGAAGTATGTTCCTCCCGGCTAAATGAAGCTGTAAGCCCGGATTCACGTGCGCTTACGGCATCTGTTTCGACTTCACTGAGGCTGTGTTAGGACTCTCAGCAGATTGGAGAATTGGGACGTTGAGTAACAGGAGCATTTCGTTTTATCTGCGCTGAGGTGAATGGACTTAAATGTTACCAAAAATACAGTCGTCTTGTTCAAGGATGTAAGAATAGTATTCAGAGAAGAATTATAGACAAGCTCCTTCTTAAAGATACAGGATTTTGGGCTTCATCCCAGAGTGGATTTCACGATGCTGAAAAAGGAATTCCACATACAGAGAGGAACAAATGTCATTTTATGGTACTAACAGAAGTGTACTTGTTCAATGTATTTGTCTCCCTCATTGGAAGAATTTCTTAAAACTTCACACCCTCTTTTGCGATCACTTTAGAACGCTTGTAAATGTTAAAAATACATTTTATGACACTTTCAGGCTTCAGAACGTACGCTTTCTCCAGCCTCAGCTGCATTACAGCAGGTGTCCGCGGTACCCGCCATTCCAGCACAGCTGGAGCCCACGACCCCCGGCCAGTTTTTTCAGGCAGAAGCATTTGACAGCATCAGTTGTAACAGTCACCACCCTGATGACAACCGTGCGGATGCTTTTGACGACTCCGCTTACATCAAGTAACCTTCTACTTTTCACTTTCAGTTCACAGTTTGCTATTGAAAATAAATCCTCACATCTTTGTGTTGAATAGCACTGCTCACTTTAAAATTTACTGACAGTAAGTGAAAATGATGGGAGAATAGGCTTTCAGTAAGTCCTTTACTCTTTCAAAAATAGTGTAGCCCCAGATGTTGTATTATTTAAGTGTAATTAATTTTAATTACATAGAATTTTAAACACTCATCTTTGAATACTGTCACTTATTTTCAGTATTATCTTAGACAGTTTTATCTCTATACTTTGAGCCAGTAACCAATATTCATCTAAAATCTGATTTTAGATTTAGTCGCAAGAAGTTCCGGGAACCAAGTCCGGACCATCAGGCCACAGGGATGAAACCAGTGCAGGATCTACCCTGGCAGCGGCCTGCGGGCGTCCGTCAGCCCCCGGGGAAGCGAGGCTCACGTCCGACCCCACTTCAGCCTACGCGACATCTTCGGGGGCCGAGGTTCAACCCAAGCAGGGCCAACGGCTGCTTTGTAAATGAGAACCGAACGTCCTTCTCTAGCAGGTGGAAGTTACGATTTCTCTGTACTGCTACTGCTCCCCAGGATTTCGGGGCGGCGTCGCACTGCAATCGGGAGCGGCACCAGGTTACTTTCTCCCTCCTGCAGCTCCCCCTTCGCGTGGAAGGAGGTTACATCCTCCGGGCGGGCGGCGGCCGCGCCGTCCTGCAAGAAGGCAAGTTTTCTCCGTGGATTTTCACACTAAATCCTGAAGAGAGCTGCCGGCGCCGTTACCCGCCCGGGCGGACATCGCCCTCGGAACGGCTGCGACGCTCCCGCATCTGCGCTACGCTGCGATTAAAGTTAATTTCTGCCCTGTCCTGTCCCGGAGTCTGGTTCCTGCGCGCGCGGTGCCCCGGTTCCCGCCTGCGGCGGCTCTCCCTGTCCCGACATACAGCCAGGGCGACGGGACCCGGCAGGCGC